GCAGAGAAGAAGATGGGGCAGGAGGAGCTGAAGCTGGAGCGGGCACGGGACAGTAGCGAGGGTGAGTCCCAGTGGGCACAGGCTGAGGAGGTAGCTCTGTCCCCCTGGCCTCCCCAGCACACCCCCTCCCCCTGTGGCGACTGTGCCCACCTCCTCCTCCTCTCCCAGGCTGCTACTTCGATGGGGACAAGACGTGGCGAGGCTCTGGCACCCGCTGGCACCCCGTCGTGCCCCCCTTTGGCCTCATCAAATGTGCCATTTGCACCTGCAAGGTGAGCGTGGGTCCCGGTTTCCCACCAGACCCCCAGCCTGGTTTGGCAGCAGAGCTGCCCTGGCACTCGTGGTGGCTGCCCTGAGCTGCTGTGCACTGCAGTAGGGGCTCAAACCAGGCAGGGGGGCTCGTGCCTTGTACCAACTGCCCCGTGCACCCCCCCTGAGCCCCCCACGCTCCTCACAGGGCACCACAGGCGAAGTGCACTGCGAGAAGGTGCAGTGCCCGCGGCTCACCTGTGCCAACCCCGTGCGCGCCAGCCCCTCCGACTGCTGCAAGCAGTGCCCAGGTACCTGCACCCCCCCTCCTGCCCTTGACTGTCCTGGCACCCCTGGCATGGCCCCTACACCTCCCTATGCCACCACTGGCAATGCCATGGGGTGCCCCTGCCATGTGCGTGCCCGCTCCCAGTGCCCTTTCCTGCAGCCCCAGAGAAGAGTGTCCCTGAGCTGGCTGACACCATGCAGGCAGATGGGCCACGGGCGTGCCGCTTTGGGCGCCGCTGGTACCTCAACAATGAGAGCTGGCACCCCTCCGTGCCCCCCTTTGGTGAAATGAAGTGTATCCTGTGCTGGTGTGTGGTGAGTGTGCCAGGCCTTGCGGCACCGGGAAGGAGAAGGTGCCCCTGTGCCAGTCCTCTCTTTCTGCCCCGCAGTCTTTGGGGATGGGTGGGAGAGCAGCCTGGCGTTGCACGCTGGGGACCCACCACACCCTGAGGAGCTACCAGCCCCCTGTGCTCTTTCCCCCGCAGTCAGGGGAGACCCACTGCCAGCGCCAGGAGTGCCCACCGGCCGCCTGCACCAGCCCCACCAGGAGAGACAACCCCTGCTGCACCAAGTGCCGTGGTGAGTGCCGGTGCTTGTGCGTGGGCACTGCTCCCCCAAACACCCTGCGGTGGCCTGTGCACCTCCCCGGCCCCCTTGGGTGCTGAGCCAGGGCTGGGACCAACCCAAGCACCATCCTGGCACCCACCATGCCCATCTCTCAGCCCCACTTCTCCCCCTGCACCAGCCCCAGATGCCACCCCTGATACACGGGAGAAGGTCCACGATGCCAGGGTGGAGGCGTGGAGTCGCTGAGCAGTGACCGCTGCCCCGAGCGGGGCGAATGTGCAGCGAGGCTGGGTGGCCGTGTGGGGGGGTCCCTGCCGCCCATCGTCCCCACGTGGGGGGGGGGGCACAGAAGAGCACCAGCCAGGCACCTAGCCTGGGCACCCCATCGTGGCACAGCCACGATGCCGGGGCTGCCCTGCCCGCTCGTGCCAGTGGGCAGCAGCTGGGCTGGTGGAGGCTGGGGCACCCACTGCCCTCCCCTCTAAGCCCCCCTGGCCAGCGGGCACAGTGGGCATCGCGCCCTCCTTGTACATAGTGTAAAATCCTTCCGGCCCCTGTCTCGCTGTGCCCGTCCCGGCTTGGCCAGGCTCGTCACATAATTTATGGTGCCTGTGGACAGGGGTCCCGATGTATTTATTAAAACCAGAGATATTGCCCACCCGGCTCCTCGCCTCTTCCTAACAGCGGCAGATGTAGGGCTGTGCCCCTGCATCCCACGCTGGGCGCCAGTGGGATTTGCAGTCCAGGGCCTTGCTGGATTTGGGTGTGCGTATGCTGGGGGTGGGTATTTGGGAAGCCTGGGGGCACCCCTGGTGGGCTGTGGGGTGGTGCTTGTAGGGTGGCACGGGCCACCCGTACCGATGCCAGGGCAGTGTTCCCCCAGAACAGCTGCACCAGACTAAGGCCTCACGTGGCTCACGGCTGCCGCCTGCCCTTTGGTCCCCAGTGTGGGGGACTGGGGCATCTCTGG